ATGTTTCCTCTGTCCATAGCGTTCCTTGACAGCGTCGTTTCTAAGTCACCAGTTTAGTGCTACTTGGTCCCAAAGGAATTTACCACTGGGAACCTGCTAGCACTAAGTTGCTAACTGGTTAGCAACTTAGTGCTAGTAGGTTCCCAATGGAATTTCCCATTGGGAACCTACTAGCACTAAGTTGCTAACTGGTTAGCAACTTAGTGCTAGTAGGTTCCCAATGGAATTTCCCATTGGGAACCTGCTATCACTAAGCTGCTAACTGGTTAGCAAGATGCTTCCCACAAACCGGGTACAACACAACTTGCTTGCAAACCTTCCGCCACAACAATCCCGCCCCCTTGATAATCGACCAATCACATTCACTTTATTCACTCGTGTAAAGTCGGGCACCACTCTGGAGAATTCAGAAATGCCGCTTCCCTAGGACTTTAAAAAGACCTTTTAGGAAGAATACTCGACGATTCACCTCCCATCCGCCCTCACCTGACTCACACTTCATTAAGCCATGTGACCGAAATCCCTTGTCAGAGTGATTTTGAGGGAGTTCAGAACCCGCTAACGACCATTAACCCCCCTGCTGACCTCCATAGCCAGTCCAATGGGAGGGATCAGAGCCTCCTTTAGTAGTTGAATCCTTACGAGAGCAGACTATTTTTGCATGGCATAAGATGACATTATTTTATTATCTAGCCATTGTTACCAGATGTTTCAGAATGTCAGAAGCTCCACTTGTCCTGCTTCTTGAAGATGTGGTTCCTCTAATTTAGAAAATAACGGATGAGAGGAGTAATGTAGCTGTTATTAAAGAAAAGTAGCTGCTGAAAAACACCAAAACAGAGGAAAGAAATAAGAATCTGGACGCTACAGAGTCAGCTGTGATCTGTGCTTAGAGCCAAAAGAACCAAAGGTTGTTTATTCAGACTTTATGACACCCAGAAGCCCTGGATGTGCCAGGAGAAGCTGCGGCCTGAGCTGCCTGTGGAATCCCTGATCTAAGCAGGGCTAACCCACAGATGGACGCTTCCAGAAAGCCAGAGGAGGCCTGGAGATGAAGGCTGCAGCTCAGGTATCAGAAACCCCCCAAAGGTTTGATAGCACGCTCCATCTGTTCAGGATGTTCCAGTAATATCTTCCATCTTGAAGAACATCAGCGTGACTCATCCTGTGTGCGCTGACAGCACAAACGTTTCTACGGAGAAACATCCACCAACTGCAGCACACAGACCATCTGGAATCAGTTTATCCGACGCTGAGGTCAACTTTCACAGAACAGCAGGGATGTGAAGGCGTCACCGGCAAACAGCGGGGGAGGGTTCAACATGGCCGCCTCCTTCCACACAGAGAAAACTCATGAGACGCTGAGGAAGCTTCTCACTCCCACCTGGAAGTGTTTTCTGAGAGCTGCTGGTCCACAGGAATGATTCAGTCTGAGCTGTGTGTCTCCCAGAAGCAGAGGCTGATCCTCCGTCCTCTGAGGACAGACGTTTATGAACCTTTGGACACCGAGGATCGTTTATGGGCCTCCTGCTCTGTGCTGGACATCATTCAGGGGTAATAAGGCTGTCAGATTCAGGGCAGAATCAGATGCAGTCTCACCAATCAGCCCTTCGCACTATAACCACACCCAGTCACACTGAAAGCCAAACACTAACACAGAGGTCACTGGGCAACCAGGGGTCAGGCGCCTTGCTCAGGGGCTCATGGACAATTAGCAGCAGGAAGCTGGAATCGAACCCTAAGCTTTCAGATTCAAAGATGCTAATTCAAAGCTATAGTGGAGGATTTTCGGGAACTTTTGAAAAGACCCGCCCTTTTTTTCTCCAAAAAAAAAAAAGCACCCACAACTCTGCACCGCTCCTGAGAGGGAATGCCTATTGAACAGTGCGAGAGCGTGCAGGAGCCCGTTTCTCCTCGTGCACGCTCGGTTTAAAAGTTGCTGTTTGCTTTGCTCAAACAAGCTCACTTTACGAAAGAAGATTTGCAATTTTTCCACCATGTCAGACTCACCGGCGGTCAGTGAAAATGGGGACGGCCTTACGTAAACATATCACCAGAATGATTGACAGTTAGGAGGACCACTGATGTAGATGATCCACCTGAAAAAACAACATCCTCCACTTTAGCTTTAAGATGCTATCATCATTTTACCTGGAAGCTAGGAGGGTTCGTCCAGCGTTAGCTCTGCTTATCATCCACGCTGTCTGGAGCTCCTACAGCCTCATATGGAGACTCATCCTCATCACCTTCAAGTCTTAAATCAGCTCTTTGCATTGCTGCCTCATAACAAGAAGGTTGTTGGTTCAAATCCCAACTGCACCACAAATACGATCTAGAAATAAGTCAGCATTTATTAACCAAGTGTTTTACCCTTAATTTGAGGTAAAGAAGATGATTTGCCAATAGAATGAGATGTTTTACTCTTAAAATTAAATAATTATGCACTTGAAATAAGACAATGCAATTGTTTTTTTCTTATTTTAAATGTAAATAGTCTTGTTCCATTGGCAAAGGGTCTCACTTAGCTGCTCAATTCAACAACAAATACACTTATTTTAAGAAAAAAAAGACATTCCTTCCAGACACAGAGGTTCTCTCCAGGTACTCCAGCTTCCACCACAGCCCAGAAACACGTTTGTTATTCCAACTTGAGTCACTTTGACCCATTTCTTGGTTAAAAACTTCCCCCGATCTAAATCTGTTACACATTGCAAAACAAGGAATTCTACATAAATCATTTTTTCTTAACATAGGTGCCTTTTTTCTTAAACTGAAGTCAGTGAGACACTTTGCCAAGAGAAGAAGACAATTTACATTAAAAATGAGAAAAAAACAATTGCATTGTCTTACTTTAAGTGCTTATTATCTAATTATCTTATTTTAAGAGTAAATATACTAATTTAATTGGCAAAGAATCGTATTTACTAGCTTAAATCAAGGGTAAAAACACTTCATTGTATTGCGTATCAAGCAAAATCCAAACATGGATTGATCCATATTTGGTGAAGCAACAAGCCGACCCTGGTTGTTCCCGTCCAGCAGCTCTGCTCTGGTCCTTATGGATGGAGCTGATCGCTGGATAATGACTCCACCGTTTTCATGATGTCGAAGCTCTTCTGTCTCCGATCTGGTGCTGAGGTTGTGAGCAGCTCCAGCTGGAAAACCATCAGCTCTGCCCTAAAACATTTTTACTGTTTTGTTTCCTAATGAAAAAAAATACTGCATCATTTTCTGACTGCCTAAAGTTTTTAGGGTGCTGATACCTTCAGAGATTTCCCCTGGAAACAGTTTAAACATTCCCACCTTCAGCTCAGATCTAAAGCCACTCTCTGTGTGGAACGAGCTGGAAATGAACCGGCCGGTTCTGCAGACAGCTGGGGAATATTTCCCACCAGCGACTCTTTAAAACCACTTTAGAGATGAATGAGGGGCCAGCTGCTGCATGCATGAGGCTGGGTCTGATAAATGTGGTGATGAGTGTCCCTTTGGTGCAGACCTCAGTCTGACCGCCTGCAGCAGTCCGCTGATTGATGGAGCTATTATAGAAGAAATACTTTAAATAACTTCTATCAAAGTGATGCGGTAGACTGAGGTCATCCCAAACTGCTCTGAATGTGAATAATGTTCGCCGTTTCCATGGTTACCTCTGTTTAATGCCTCCCAGGATAACCAAAGCTTGTGTGCTCATTAGTAATCTCCTTTTCTACATAAAGAAACAGCTTACCGTTGATGGGATAAAGTTCCAGGACTCCGCCCATGTCCGGCAGCTCCGTACCGACCAGCTTCAGGACGGCGATGTGCCTCAGACCTAAACATGGCGACAGAACAAAATCAATCGCTGTTCCACAAACAGAGGAGGTTCGCTAACCTCAGCAGCTGCTAAACATCAGGATCAAACTTCTCAGGCCCACTCAGGGCAGGGGCGGATTAAGGAAAAATTGGGGGCCTAGGCAAAGACAGCAGGGGGCCCACATTTGAGATGATTGGTCTTAAGTTGTTTTATGCTTCATTTTTCTGTTTTGGACAGGAAATGGAGAAACTGCAGGTTTAACCCTCCTCTGTCCCGCCATTCACAGGAAACCATGAAATTATACAGCTGATTTCACAAAATTAGCCATGAGTGACGCTTCTGTCCAGGACTTTTAGTATAATCGTCTGAAAGTTGCTGATGACTGCAGCATCTTCATCTCTTCTTGTCCCTTTTCTTCTTGTTTTCCTCTCTATGTTTTGTACTCAGCTGACTTTTCATGCTGTCTCTGAAGGAATGAAAGATTTTTTCCAAGCACTAAGCTCACTTAGCTGATTGCTCCTTCCTGTGTTTCCAAAAAGGCCAAAGTAAATAACCCAGTCCTTCTTTTCACTGTAGACAAGCCATGATCTGCTTATCTGTTCTCCATTTTTCATTTGGATGAAATAATAGCTGCATGAATCATGACAGCAGACAAGATAGAGGAGAGCAGGAGGCGGGGTTACCAATCTACTCGCTCTGGAGAGCAGAGTTCGCTGCTTTTAGATGTTGTCTCCAAAGTCTCCAGTAGCAGAAAAAAGTCTCTAGATTTGGCGCTAGGAGCTTTTTAGAAATCAAAGTGCTAGAGGGGTCTGAAAAGTGGCTAAATATAGCGACTAAAGCGCTAAGTTGGCAACACTGCTCTTTGCATGGTTTGTTTTCAAATGGTTTGCTGCTGTCTGTTTGGACCTTTCTGAACATGTGCAGCAAATGGACTGATCCAATATGGTGGACACTGAAGGGGGGGGCTGAGACACACTTAATATTATCAGCGTTCTGATGGCATTTTAGCCAAAGGATTTTTATCAAAAACATAATTAATGTGCAGAAATAAGGAATAGTTTTATTAACCGTACATGGAAACAGAGTTTTATGGGGCCCCCAGGAACTTGGGGCCCTAGGCACCTAGTATTGCCTAATGGTAAACCCCTCTTCACCCGCCCCTGTCTGATATGTACTGTACTGAGTTCTAAGTAAGTGAGGAAAGGTTGACCTGCAGAGGAAGGAAAAACAAAAACTAATCGGAGCCAATTCTGCCATCTGGAATCCTCTGAGCAAACACACCGACCCACACATAGAAATACGGCTCCAACATCCCAGAAAGTTCCTCATAGAATGGATTTATTCATACATTTATAGACCGGAGGAAAAACTTATGGCAGGATGAGGTAAATGTCACCAGGAAGCACAAACTTCCAGAACTTTGGAGATTTGGGGGAATTTTTGGATCTTTCTGAGAATTCCTGCACACAGCTGAGGAATCCAGAGAGAAAGTTTCTCCCGTTGTCTGTTTGTTTCCAGTTTGAAGCTAATCTCATCTTAGATTTTTTGTTTTAGATCTGTTGAAGTACAGACGATGCAAGGAAGCAGGAAAATGTTCCAGGTAAAAAAAACACACGAGCGAAACAGTAAATGGAGCACAGCAACTTTGGTGAAATCTACTGAAGGAACCAGCGGATCACATTGACGCGCTCCGAGATATTCCTCTGACTGAATCTATGGAGCAGAAAATCCTATTTTTATTTGTTGGACTTTAAATCAAACCCTAAATCTTCAGCTGTTGGTGGAGAACGCAGATTGTCAAAGATGGAGTAAATACTGAAATAAAAGTAGATAAATTAAATCAATTCCCTTGATTTCAGCAGGTAAGACAATTTTATATACGATACATGACAGTTTCAGTCAGTTTTAGTCGACTAAAAGTTTGATGTTGCTAAAAAAAGTGAACCTTTATAATTTGTAATACCAACCAGATTCTTTCCCAGCCTGCAGCTCTATCCTAGATGCTACAATAGCTGGGTATAGAACGCTGCCGTGCAGATCAGCATTGCTGTTGGGCAGATAAACTTTGACTATAGAATTAGAATAAACTATTTTTGTGAATTAATGCCCTACTTTATAAAAAAAATTGTCTCACAAATGCTAAAAATAGCAGATCTAGTTCAACACATCCTATTGGTTAATATTGCAGATAGAAGCTAACAGAATGTCCAATAAAGGAATGATTTTATCATCCAAGGTTTCCATCCCAAAGCAAACACTTCCTGATCTGCTAGGAATTCTGCATTAAACACAGATCTATAAAAACTGCATTAATGCAAAAAAGCAAAGAACAAAAACATTCTTCTTTCTATTTGGTCATTTATTTCTTCAATCTCCCCCTCGGTTCCTGCTGCTCAGGAGTCAAAGTAGATTTAAATTCACAGGGTTTGATATAAAAAATACAGAGATCCTCCATAACTACCTTGTAACGCCATGGCAACCCAGACCTAAATGAATGAATATGTTACTAAAACGTTGAAATATTTAAAGGAAAAAGAGAAAATGTATTAATGACAATACAGGGAAAGATTTACATCATATTTAAATAGATATAAATGAGAACAATGAGAGAGAAATATTCAAAGATCTATGAACCTTTTCATCTGGATCTTTATCCAGAAATAAACAGAAAGCAATGAAATATTTGCTCTGGATATAATTTAGGGATTCCTGTTGGTAGAAATGAAGGAATGTTTAGCATCACCTCTAAAATCTAGATAGTTAGACAAAGGGATTCTTTACGCTTGGCAGAGGATGATCAGCCACATCTAGTTTATTAAGTAGCGAGAGCAGGAAGAGCCGTACTGCTGAGAGCGAAGCATCGGAGCGGAGCGTAAAGCTCAGACTCTGAGCTAACGACGCATTTCTGCACAAGCACAGCTGGAAGATCAGAGTTAGTCAGAGTTCAGCGCGCCGTACCGGATCATTCTAGGTTATTTTCTCCCTGCTGCCATGATCCATCTGTGCTGCTGCAGAATGAGCAACGCTGAGCGGCAGGATCAAACAGGACGCAGCAGCACGGCTGATACTGCTTAGATTACAGCAATGAAGCATTTTAAACCTCTGACAGATGACCTGCTAATTTTTATTTAGTCTCGTCTGATTGACAAAAACTCAAACCTACGACCAGTCATGTTTTATTCATCAAAGATCCACGATTAGCTCACCAGTTGAAAAAAAGGAGCGTCAGCAAAACCATTTCGTCAACTTTGACGAAAAAACAACATCCCTTAGGAGTAGAAATACTCCTTCCATTGGCAGATGCTCTGATTCACCTGTTCATCTAATCTCAGAGACAATTATTATCAGTAAGTTTTATTTATTTTTAGATCAGTTTCGCAGTGAGTTCATATTTGTAGCTAACTGTTTTGATGCAGCAGGTTGAGGAAACATGAGAAGGGGCCAGGCCTCTGATGGAGGATGGATGATCTGCCTGCTGTAGAAATCAGAACTAGATCGCGGCTTTAAAGGGCTTTGGTCGGGCCAGAAATGTTTTATTGGTTCAACATGTTTTTGGTCCAGATTGGCCTCACCCAGGCCTCCTCTAGTCTGCCATCCTCATTGTGAGGTCATGAAGAGGAGACGGTCCTGAAACCCGGAGGTCTTGGTTTGGTTTGGGTCAGTCTCTACCTTCTGACTAGCTGGCAGACTGGAGCTTAAGATGGATGGATAGACAGGAACCTGCTCTGCACCATCCTCCATGAGAAGCTGGAGGTCCTGCTCTGGCAGAACTAAACCGCGTCTTTTTATACGCACAGTCCCATCTTCAGGGTTCTCGCTGCTGGTTCCCATCTGTGGAGAAGCTTTTTTTCTTGCAGCGTGTCTGAGAACAGTGCTGTGATTGGTCAAGGTTTTTGCAGCTGACTGTGCTCAGTGAGGAGAGCGCCGGGCCAAACGGAAACGTTTTCAGGGTTACCTGACCTTCTACCTTCTAACCCTCACCTGTGGTCAGGAGATAAGGTGAACGTGACACTTAGCCTCAGATAGACGGTGATGGGCTCTAAGAATGAAGAAGAGCCTCTTATCCAGGTGGTGGCTGCAGCCTCCAGGCCGTTCCAATCGCTTCTCATTGAGGGATTGAACAAACCGTCATCAGGACTGCTGGTGTTGGTCAGGAGATGATATCTAGGTTTCCCACCTGGACCTGTGATGCTGCCTCTGATCCATAGATAACAACAGGTTGTTGGGCGTTCCCTTTAGCTCGACTGACGTTTCTGTCGTCCTAGCCTGGTGAGACCATCCTGATCTCGCGAGCTTTCAAGGTTTCACTCACAGATC